CGGTCCAACAAGCTAGTTAGTGCAGACAGTGATAATTAGAGCTAGTTAGTGCCGACAGTGATCATTAGAGCTAGTTAGTGCTGATGGTTAAGGTTACCGCTAGTTAGAAATCTACCGGATAAACATGATGTATTCACCCTGGATTACCCTATGGGAAAGCATTGCATTGGCTAACAATCTGCAATTCTGATGTCACTAAAGAGACGGATCAGGAGCAGGTCCAACACCGGTGGACCAGCGTGGCGCTGGAAATTAGGTATGTTTTAATTCCTTTTGAGGGGGCAAGCCACCTAAATGGTGGATTAAACACTATAGGGTCAGGAATACATGTTAGTGTTCCTGACCCTATAGTGTTCTTTTAAAAGTTTATCCAGAAATATTAAAATTAAGTGGTTGTAGTGCCCGGAGTCTCCTGGCACTGTCTCTCCATTTAGTAATGAACCATTTTCGAGGTGTTTAACAATAATTGGGGTGCTTGGCCGCCCACAGCCTGGCCCCCAGTGGAGGTGTGGCTAAGGCAGAGATTACACAATTCTTTGTAGCCATAAAAATTCACACCAGCATTGGGCACTGTAATAGGCTGTAACCGCTCAGCTGACACTCTAATCCATTACTGCTCAGTACAGAGGGGATGGGCTGTAGGGACTCTTGTTTCACATCCAAACATTAAACATGGTTTAACACTGAATGGAAGGACGGCAGCAGGAGACTCCAAACACTATATGGAGCAGTTACATAGTCGGCTTTGAGAGAAATTGCATTTTTCCACTGGAAGCGGGGGTCGTCACATGTACAGGGAAAACCGGGCTCTTGTAGAACATGTTATTCTGTTTATTTTCAGTTAGAGTTTTCCAATAAACGTGGAATGAGTGTATTTATTATTCTTTCCCCAAATCTCCGTCACTTTGTAGATTTGTATCTTCAAAATTTATCGTGTTGTTTTCTTTTTTTCCTGCCAAAAATAACCCTGAGTGCCTCCCCTGAACGTACAGCAGCAGCCTGTTGTGTAGGCAGATGTGCATTCTCTGTCTCAGTGTATGTAAAGGAACGCGATTATAAAAGTGCAGATTTCAGTAGGAATGGTAATGTTATAACTTACTGCTGTAATGCCTCTGTAACAGCACCCCCAGGCATACAAGGGGTTAAAAGCTGTTTAGTAGATATTCCCCTTCCAGATATACAGGCAGCTACCAAAGACACCAGTTACCCGAACAGGAAACCATATGAATGCCGTAAACAGCCGAATAGGAAAAACCATACGAAAAAGTTTACACTCCTAGCAGTCGAACTGGAACAGCATTTGAGAAGGCTCTGTGTTGAGGGTCAAACCGGAACAAACAAAGCTGTGTCTTTACTGGCCTTATATACACATTTTACAGACAAAGTCCCACCCACAGGGTTTTGTGGAACATCCAATCAAAACATACAACACAGATAAACACTCCCACAATTACATCACAATCCCTCCTCTCTATCCTGGAGATAATTGGGAAGTAATCTAATTATCTCCAAGGACAGAGTCAAAACTCAATTAAGCACATGGCAGTAAAAAGACAGTAAAATTCAATAAAATACACAAGGTTACATTTATTACATAAAATACAGACATGCAACATAGCCCCAGATAGCTTAGGTCTCAGCGCACATTATTACTGAATGGCGCTCAGACCACACACATACAGTTCATTTGCCATGGAGCCAAAGTCTTTTATTACACGAATAGTATATCCATGGCATAGCTATCTGGGTTAAATGAGTTAGTTCATTAAATCCGTGAATGAACCGGCCGCGTGTGAACTGCAGACTGCTGCCATCCAGTGTTCAGTATGCGTAGCCGCGGCCACCCGGTAAAGTCAATTAAGCTGCGGTTAACTGCAGCTACTGGGTGGTCAATTGGTGGCGCTCGCCGGCTTCTGGGCGGCCAATTAATGGCGCCTGCCAGCTAACCGCGGCTCCTGGGAGGCCAATAGACGGCTGTTTGTTCGGTAGATAGAATCTACCGAACGCCCGGGCAGAAATACATGAATAGACCTTTCTGCATAGGGAAAAAAAAAAGTATTTAAATGCCGGTCCATAGTCAAAAGGCAACCAGGCTCCTCCAGTGCAGTACAGTGGCAATATTGGTCTTGTCACAGCCTCCCTGGCTGTCAATCAGTGAGATGATATGTCTGCACTGTACAAAAAGCAGCAGCAGGCGACATTGAAAGTCTTACAGGTTAGGGCCTGCAGAAGCTGCAGATACTAGATCTGCAGCTATAGCAGGCTAATTGTTCATACACTCCAAAGACAACAACCAAAACCATGACGTTTCCTACACGACTAGAAGAACTGTGACTGCTTCATCTAATAAAAGTGGTTATAGTGTCTGGAGTCCCATGGCACCATCCTTCCATTCAGAGTTTAACTATTTTTAATGCGATAACCAGCAGCTCACCCCCTTCTGTGTTAAATGGACAAATGAAGAAGCATTAATCTGAGCAAAAATTGTTGGGTGACATTGTCAGCTGACTGCTTTCAACCTATCATAGCGCCCATTGCTGGTATGAATTAGTATGGCTAGAAGGAAGTGTGTAACCTCTGGATTAGCCACATCTCCGGTGGGGGCGTAGCTATGGGAAGCCAGGAATCCTCACTCACAGTTAAACTGTTCGAAACTGATTTAACATTAAATAGAGAGACAGTGCCAGGGGACTCCAGGCACTATAACCACTTAAATGAGGTTAGATTGCTCAATTTAGATATAAACCCAGCACAATGTGAGACTGTCCTGATAATGTGAGGTCATTACATTAGATATAAACCCAGCGCTGTCTGAGCCTGTCCTGATACCATGCGGTCATTACATTAGATATAATCCCAGCGCTGTCTGAGCCTGTCCTGGTAACGTGCAGTCATTACATTAGATATAAACCCAGCGCTGTCTGAGCCTGTGCTGATAACATGCAGTCATTACATTAGATATAAACCCAGCGCTGTCTGAGCCTGTGCTGATAACGTGCAGTCATTACATTAGATATAAACCCAGCGCTGTCTGAGCCTGTCCTGATAACGTGCAGTCATTACATTAGATATAAACCCAGCGCCGTCTGAGCCTGTCCTGATAACGTACTGTCATTACATTAGATATAAACCCAGCGCTGTCTGAGCCTGTCCTGATAACGTGCGGTCAGATCTCCTACATTAGATATAAACCCAGCGCTGTCTGAGCCTGTCCTGATAACGTGCTGTCATTACATTAGATACAAACCCAGCGCTGTCTGAGCCTATCCTGATAACGTGCTGTCATTACATTAGATATAAACCCAGCGCTGTCTGAGCCTGTCCTGATAACGTGCAGTCATTACATTAGATATAAACCCAGCCCTTTCTGAGCCTGTCCTGATAACGTGCAGTCAGTGTAAAGGTCACAGTTTTAGCAGCAATCTCTTTTGTTAACTGTCATGAAATATATACCCAGAGCTCACGGCCCTCCGGGGCCCTCATAGATTCTTGCCATTAATTAAGGCGAGGTAAGTTAAGTTATATTCTGTCACTAATTAACCCCTATTCCCTAAGGTCAAAACAGACTCATGTTACCTGGTGAGACAGAGATTGTATCATGTTAAGAAACAAAGCCAGTTATGTGTCCTGTGAGCTATTCCTCATCTATTTACAAGAAAGGAATGTAAGAATAGAGGGGTTTGGGGGAGGAGGGGATAAGTAAAGAATGCAAAGAAGTAGTATTTTTGGAGGATAATCTGGTAATGTGGGGGAGACATTAAACAGTAATGGAAGAAAGGCTGTTGCACATCCAAGGTTTATGTAATGTGAAATATAAAACGTGGGCTACAGAGTGAGCAAACTTGCAGTGCAGTGTATTGCAAAACTTACCGAGCCCCGAGCATCATGCGTGAAGTTTGTATTCTGTGTATTTCACGTCGTAGCATTTTTTCAATTTAAATAAACCTTGAGAAGCACTCTCTGCGGAATGTGTGCCCTCCTTCATTACTGATTAGTCACCCCAGATAAATTCATAATTTCATACCTCCCAAGTGTCCCAATTTATTTAATAATTTATAAAATATTTTACCAGGATGGATACATTGAGATTTCTCTTGTTTTTAAGTATGTCCTGGGTCCACAAACATTGCATTGTTACAATAGGGTACAATAAAATACAATATACTAACAATATATACAGGTACTCCTCACTTACCGACCGTACAACGAATTGGTGGGTAAGTGAGGAGTTGAGGAATTCCCTGCTCTGGTACGCTTGTTTATGTTCGGGGCTCGCACTTACCCCCATGCTAGAGAGCTGGTTGTAAGTGCGAGCTGTCGTAAAACAGGTAGGTCGTAAAATGAAGACCACCTGTAAATACCTACACACATATATAAATTTAACACACAATAGGTAATCAATATATTCAACCATGACAGGTGCATTCTCTCCCATAGATCTCTTAAAAGATTTTAGATTGAATGAAGATTTGACTGTGTCCCTGAGGCTATTCCATAATTGTGGTGCTCTGTAGGAAAAGGAGAATCGAGACACTTTATTTTTGTATTGCGGTATGCTAAATATCATGCTAGTACTGGATCGGAGGTTATAGGAAGTGGGAACAGCCGGGGAGAGCATTCTGCTCACGTAGGGTGGGAGCATAAACACAAGGCTGGAAAGATAAAGGGTGAGTCTGGATTCCAGAGTGCTCTTTTAACATTTAGGATGGACAGTCCCTCTTTCAGGCCCAAATCTCTCTGTCCCTCTATTCTAGGAGCTCCATATTCTTGGTGTGTATGAGTGTATAACAGAGCTCCACAGCAATAGTACTCCCAGTAATGTGTCTGAGTGTATAACAGAGCTCTACAGTAATAATACTCCCAGTAATGTGTCTGAGTGTATAACAGAGCTCCACAGCAATAATACTCCCAGTAATGTGTCTGAGTGTATAACATAGCTCCACATTAATAATACTCCCAGTAATGTGTCTGAGTGTATAACAGACCTCCACAGCAATAATACTCCCAGTAATGTGTCTGAGTGTATAACAGAGCTCTACAGTAATAATACTCCCAGTAATGTGTCTGAGTGTATAACAGAGCTCCACAGCAATAATACTCCCAGTAATGTGTCCGAGTGTATAACAGAGCTCCACATTAATAATACTCCCAGTAATGTGTCTGAGTGTATAACAGACCTCCACAGTAATAATACTCCCAGTAATGTGTCTGAGTGTATAACAGAGCTACATAGCAATAATACTCCCAGTAATGTGTCTGAGTGTATAACAGAGCTCCGCAGCAATAATACTCCCATTAATGTGTCTGAGTGTATAACAGACCTCCACAGCAATAATACTCCCAGTAATGTGTCTGAGTGTATAACAGAGCTACATAGCAATAATACTCCCAGTAATGTGTCTGAGTGTATAACAGAGCTCCACAGCAATAATACTCCCAGTAATGTGTCTGAGTGTATAACAGAGCTCCACAGCAATAATACTCCCAGTAGTGTGTCTGAGTGTATAACAGAGCTCCACAGCTATAATACTCCCAGTAATGTGTCGGAGTGTATAACAGAGCTCCACAGCAATAATACTCCCAGTAATGTGTCTGAATGTATAACAGAGCTCCACAGCTATAATACTCCCAGTAATGTGTCGGAGTGTATAACAGAGCTCCACAGCAATAATACTCCAAGTAATGTGTCTGGGTGTATAACAGAGCCCCACAGCAATAGTACTCCCAGTAATGTGTCTGAGTGTATAACAGAGCTCCACAGCAATAATACTCCCAGTAATGTGTCCGAGTGTATAACAGAGCTCCACAGCAATAATACTTCCAGTAATGTGTCCGGGTGTATAACAGAGCTCCACAGCAATAATACTCCCAGTAATGTGTCTGAGTGTATAACAGAGCTCCACAGCAATAATACTCCCAGTAATGTGTCTGAGTGTATAACAGAGCCCCACAACAATAATACTCCCAGTAATGTGTCTGAGTGTATAACAGAGCTCCACATTAATAATACTCCCAGTAATGTGTCTGAGTGTATAACAGACCTCCACAGCAATAATACTCCCAGTAATGTGTCTGAGTGTATAACAGAGCTCTACAGTAATAATACTCCCAGTAATGTGTCTGAGTGTATAACAGAGCTCCACAGCAATAATACTCCCAGTAATGTGTCTGAGTGTATAACAGAGCTCCACAGCGATAATACTCCCAGTAATGTGTCTGAGTGTATAACAGAGCTCCACAGCAATAATACTCACAGTAATGTGTCTGAGTGTATACAGAGCTCCACAGCAATAACACTCCCAGTAATGTGTCTGAGTGTATAACAGAGCTCCACAGCAATAATACTCCCAGTAATGTGTCTGAGTGTATAACAGAGCTCCGCAACAATAATACTCCCAGTAATGTGTCTGAGTGTATAACAGAGCTCCACGGTAATAATACTCCCAGAAATGTGTCTGAGTGTATAACAGAGCTCCACAGCAACAATACTCCCAGTAATGTGTCTGAGTGTATAACAGAGCTCCACAGCAATAATACTCCCAGTAATGTGTCTGAGTGTATAACAGAGCTACATAGCAAAAATACTCCCAGTAATGTGTCCGAGTGTATAACAGAGCTCCGCAGCAATAATACTCTCAGTAATGTGTCTGAGTATATAACAGAGCTCCACAGCAATAATACTCCCAGTAACGTGTCTGAGTGTATAACAGAGCTCCACAGCAATAATACTCCCAGTAATGTGTCTGAGTGTATAACAGAGCACTACAGTAATAATACTCCCAGTAATGTGTCTGAGTGTATAACAGAGCTCTACAGTAATAATACTCCCAGTAATGTGTCTGAGTGTATAACAGACCTCCACAGCCATAATACTCCCAGTAATGTGTCTGAGTGTATAACAGAGCTACATAGCAATAATACTCCCAGTAATGTGTCTGAGTGTATAACAGAGCTCCACAGCAATAATACTCCCAGTAATGTGTCTGAGTGTATAACAGAGCTCCGCAGCAATAATACTCCTAGTAATGTGTCTGAGTTTATAACAGAGCTCCACAGCAATAATACTCCCAGTAATGTGTCTGAGTGTATAACAGAGCTCTACAGTAATAATACTCCCAGTAATGTGTCTGAGTGTATAACAGACCTCCACAGCAATAATACTCCCAGTAATGTGTCTGAGTGTATAACAGAGCTACATAGCAAAAATACTCCCAGTAATGTGTCCGAGTGTATAACAGAGCTCCGCAGCAATAATACTCTCAGTAATGTGTCTGAGTGTATAACAGAGCTCCACAGCAATAATACTCCCAGTAACGTGTCTGAGTGTATAACAGAGCTCCACAGCAATAATACTCCCAGTAATGTGTCTGAGTGTATAACAGAGCTCTACAGTAATAATACTCCCAGTAATGTGTCTGAGTGTATAACAGAGCTCCACAGCAATAATACTCCCAGTAATGTGTCTGGGTGTATAACAGAGCTCCACAGCAATAATACTCCCAGTAATGTGTCTGAGTGTATAACAGAGCTCCACAGCAATAATACTCCCAGTAATATGTCTGAGTGTATAACAGAGCTCCACAGCAATAATACTCCCAGTAATGTGTCTGGGTGTATAACCGAGCTTCACAGCAATAATACTCCCAGTAATGTGTCTGAGTGTATAACAGAGCTCCACAGCAATAATACTCCCAGTAATGTGTCAGAGTGTATAACAGAGCTCCACAGCAATAATACTCCCAGTAATGTGTCTGAGTGTATCACAGAGCTCCACAGCAACAATACTCCCAGTAATGTGTCAGTGTATAACAGAGCTCCACAGCAATAATACTCCCAGTAATGTGTCTGAGTGTATAACAGAGCTCCACAGCAATAATACTCCCAGTAATGTGTCAGTGTATAACAGAGCTCCACAGCAATATACTCCCAGTAATGTGTCTAGGTGTATAACAAACTCCACAGCAATAATACTCCCAATGTGTGTCTGTGTGGCATAACAGTGCTCCACAGCAATACTCCCAGCCAATGTGTCTGTGTGTATAACAGAAGCTCCCACAGCAATAATACTCCCAATGTAATGTGTCTGAGTGTATAACAGAGCTCCACGGCAATCATACTCCCAGTAATGTGTCTGAGTGTATAACAGAGCCCCACGGCAATAATACTCCCAGTAATGTGTCTGACTGTATAACAAAGCTCCACAGCAATAATACTCCCAGTAATGTGTCTGAGTGTATAACAGAGCTCCACAGCAATAATACTCCCAGTAATGTGTAGGAGTGTATAACAGAGCTCCACAGCAATAATACTCCCAGTAATGTGTCTGAGTGTATAACAGAGCTCCACAGCAATAATACTCCCAGTAATGCGTCTCAGTGTATAACAGAGCTCCACAGCAATAATACTCCCAGTAATGTGTCTGTGTGTATAACAGTGCTCCACAGCAATAATACTCCCAGTAATGTGTCTGAGTGTATAACAGTGCTCCACAGCAATAATACTCCCAGTAATGTGTCTGAGTGTATAACAGAGCTCCACAGCAATAATACTCCCAGTAATGTGTCTGAGTGTATAACAGAGCTCCACAGCAATAATACTCCCAGTAATGTGTCTGAGTGTATAACAGAGCTCCACAGCAATAATACTCCCAGTAATGTGTCTGGGTGTATAACAGAGCTCCACAGCAATAGTACTCCCAGTAATGTGTCTGAGTGTATGTCAGTAATGTGAGTGTATAACAGAGCTCCACAGCAATAATACTCCCAGTAATGTGTCTGAGTGTATAACAGAGCTCCACAGCAATAATACTCCCAGTAATGTGTCTGAGTGTATAACAGAGCTCCACAGCAATAATACTCCCAGTAATGTGTCTGAGTGTATAACAGAGCTCCACAGCAATAATACTCCCAGTAATGTGTCTGAGTGTATAACAGAGCTCCACAGCAATAATACTCCCAGTAATGTGTCTGAGTGTATAACAGAGCTCCACAGCAATAATACTCCCAGTAATGTGTCTGAGTGTATAACAGAGCTCCACAGCAATAATACTCCCAGTAATGTGTCTGAATGTATAACAGAGCTCCACAGTAATAATACTCCCAGTAATGTGTCTGAGTGTATAACAGACCACCACAGCAATAATACTCCCAGTAATGTGTCTGAGTGTATAACAGAGCCACACAGCAATAATACTCCCAGTAATGTGTCTGAGTTTATAGCAGAGCTCCACAGCAATAATACTCCCAGTAATGTGTCTGAGTGAATAACAGAGCTCCACAGCAATAATACTCCCAGTAATGTGTCTGAGTGTATAACAGAGCTACACAGCAATAATACTCCCAGTAATGTGTCTAAATATTCTTGTTTATTTGGGCATATCCTACCTCATACTCACCAGGGTGTTTTTCCATTACTGTGTTACGCTAAGTATTGTTTGTAATTTCCTCTAGATGCCATTATATTTTAGGTGGAATATTCTACATACATTTTTCCATGTTGTTACAATTTTATTTTTTTTCCTTCTGATACGTGTTATTGTGTTTCCCACATTCATTATTTATTTTATTTTGTTGGATGTTTTTGTGAGGTACATCTGGGTTATTACTCTTCACATATTATTTATTTATTCACTCGCATATTAGTGTTTATTTAGTGTTTGTTCTACAGTGGTTAGAATAAGGTTAGGATTAGGGAAGGTTAGAATAAAGTTAGAATTATAGGAGGTTAGAATAAGTTTAGGATTAGGGGAGGTTAGGATTATAGGAGGTTAGAATAAGGTTAGGATTAGGGAAGGTTAGAATAAAGTTAGAATTATAGGAGGTTAGAATAAGGTTAGGATTAGGGGAGGTTAGAATAAGGTTAGGATTAGGGGAGGTTAAAATAAGGTTAGGATCAGGGGAGGTTAGAATAAAGTTAGGATTATAGGAGGTTAGAATAAGGTTAGGATTAGTAAAGGTTAGAATAAGGTTAGGATTAAGGGATTTTAGAATAAGGTTAGGATTAGAAGGAGTTAGAATAAGGTTAGGATTATAGAAGGTTATAATAAGGTTAGGATTATAGGAGGTTAGAATAAGGTTAGAATTAGGGGATTTTAGAATAAAGTTAGATTTGGGTAAATTAGAATCAGGTAAGGTGTATAGGAGGTTAGGATCTGTGGAGGTTAGAATGAGGTTAGGATTAGGGGAGGTTAGAATAAAGTCAGGATTATAGGAGGTTGGAATATGGTTAGGATTAGGGAAGATTGGAATAAGGTTTGGTTTATAGGAGGTTAGAATAAGGCTAGGATTAGGGGTGGTTAGAATAAGGTTAGGATCAGTGGAGTTTAGAATAAGGTTAGTATTAGGGGAGGTTAGAATCAGGTAAGGAGTATAGGAGGTTAGAATAAGGTTAGGATTAGGGGATGTTAGAATAAAGTTAGGATTATAGGAGGTTAGAATAAGGTCAGGATTATAGGAAGTTAGAATAAGGTAAGGATTATATGAGATTAGCATAAGGTTAGGATTATAGGAGGTTGGGATATGTCGCGTACCTGAGTAGAAAACTATTGCCCAGGCAAGTGAGCTACGCGGCAGTGGAAAATGAGTGTCTAGCCCTGGTCTGGGCTCTAAAGAAGCTCACACCATACCTGTACGGGCAGGAATTCACCCTGATTACAGACCATAACCCACTAGTATTTCTGAACTGAGTAGCAGGGGACAATGGACGATTGCTGAGATGGAGCTTGGCCCTACAACCGTACAACTTCTCCATTCAATACCGCCCTGGCCGGTTCAATGGGAACGCAGACGGACTGTCCAGGCAAACTGAACTTTTACCTTACCAGCAGACCGGACAGCCCCAAATTGACCCGAAAAGGATCAATCCGGGTCTGCCGGAGTGTTCCACAAAAGGGGAGCAGTGTAACAGAACTATGCTTGTGCCTGGACTTATTTATCAATACAGTTGGATTTACTAAAAACCGAATAACTATTTCATGGAAAATACCATTACCGGCGAATGCAGCTCAAACTACCGAACATCGGACCACCCAGGGGCACAGTTAAGTGGTATTTTACCTCCCAGTGCTTTTGGAGCCGTTTGCATGGTTTCACACGAATCCTTTGTGCTCAGAATAGATGGCCGCCATTTCGGCACTTTACACGTGTTCGCGGCCATCTTACGCACGAACAGCAGTGTTTGCCCGTGAACGCATGGAACTAAAAACGGACACGCAAACAGGCGAACACCGCTGAGACCTCCATGAGCTCATAACTTCGTGCTGGAACTACCGAACGACCGGCCGTTCGGTAGTTATGCTTAAACTCACATAGGGATTCCAGCGAACACCAGGGTGACTGTGGATGGCAAGGGGTTCGTGGGGTTTTAATGCACAAACAGAGACCGACCGCAAGGCCAAAACGTATGGAACTCTTTTCGACTAGAGAATCTGTGTGGTCGGTCAAAACTTCAAAGACCCATAACTCCCGAACCCCTCAACCGAATGAGCTGGAAGTTGGATATGTTGTTCCCCTGAATGAGAGCTATCAAGATTTAAAGGTGTACCCCCTGTTTTTGGGGTACATCCAGAACTTGAGTAAAATTGTGTATGTTTTAATTGTTACATGTTTATCTGAGGGGAGGAGACTTGGGGGTTGTACCATGTATATGATTGGTTATTGTGATAATTATGTGGGTGTAACCTTTTTCAGGGCACCATTGCATAAAAGGAGACCCCTGTCAATAAACATCAGTTCTACTTGACCCTTCAAAACGTAGCCTCGTCTCGTTCTTGGAGGGGATTTCTTGTACAGTTACTCTGCCTCATTTTACAGCGATGCCTGATTGTACTCTTGGATATCGTGGATGGGAATAAGAACTCCATTACTTCACAGCAGCTTGCCTAGAAAAGGACGTCTCCAACGGCAGATACCCCTTACCAGCTGGGTAGCCGTTACAGTATGGCTCGAGGGTCGCTCCACCGAGGGGCTACGGGACACTGGTGCTACCATTACACTGGTCCAGAGCCATTTGGTGCCGGAACATAAACGATTAGGACAGACTGTGGCTGTTAGAGTGGCGGGGGGGGGATGTCTATAAGATTCCTACCGCTAAGGTACATCTTGATTGGGGAGCGGGGAAAGGGGCTGTGAACGTGGGAATAATGGATAATTTGCCTGCGGAAGTATTACTGGGAAACGATTTGGGCCCCATGACTTCTGCCTATGCTCCAGCATACAACAATGAAGTAAATCCGGTGACTACTCGAGCACAATCTCAGACACAGCGAGAACCCGTGCGGGAGACACAGATAAGACTTACCCCGAGCTGGACTGACCCCTTAGGTCCCATCCCCTGGGACACCCCAACTACTTTTGAGACCGAGTCTAAGACCGACCCAACCTTGAAAAAATACAGAGAAAGGGCAGAGACTGGAGGGGGCGGGCTAGATAATGAAACATTCTTATGGGAAAAAGGGAAGCTGTATCGCTTGACTGAGAAACGGGGACAGAATAGACGACAGCTGGTAGTGCCCCACAAACACCGCCAAGAAATACTGAGGGTATGACACGACATTCCGTTAGCAGGCCACCTAGCTGTGACCCGCACACTTCACCGCATCACCCACACGTTTTTTTGGCCAGGGGTAAACGCAGATGTCCGAACCTATTGTAGTACATGCAATGTGTATCAGAGAGTAGGGAGGAGAGGTGACCACCATAAGGCACACTTGGTGAATATGCCCATTGTAGAGGAGCCATTCAGCAGGGTTGCCATAGACTTAGTAGGGCCACTGGCTACACCTAGTTCCTCCGGTAAGCGATACATCCTTACCGTAGTAGACTACGCGACCAGGTACCCAGAGGCGGTAGCCCTATCTAACATTCAAGCGGATACGGTAGCTAATGCGCTGGTTCAGGTTTTCTCTCGGGTAGGATTCCCAAAGGAAATCCTGTCTGACCGAGGCACCCAGTTTACAGCCGAATTGACACAGCAACTCTGGCAAGTCTGCAAGATTAAGTCTCTCCTGAGCTCTCCCTACCACCCACAGACAAATGGGCTTTGTGAGAGGTTCAATGGGACCCTCAAACAAATGCTCAAAATGTTCACCCAGGAGTACAGAGACTGGGAACGGTTTCTGCGGCACCTCCTATTTGCTTATCAGGAGGTGCCCCAGGAAATGACAGGGTTCTCTCCCTTCGAGTTGCTATATGGACGCAAGGTAAGGGGACCCCTAAACCTGATCCGAGAGCACTGGGAGGGAGAGATATAGACTGAAGGTGTCCCCACTGTACCATACATGCTAGAACTCCGGGACCGAATGGAGCAATTAGCCAAATCCGTTCAGGCTAACCTCCAGTCAGCCCAGAGGAGACAGAAGGTATGGTATGATCTGG